CACCTCAGCCTCCCAAAGGCGCGGGATTACAGGCTGAGCCACCAAGCCCGGCTGGTTTTTGCCTTTATAAACCCCTTTGCTTGCTTCGTTCAGGGTTGGGAGTTCTCTGAGGGACTAGCATACTCTTGGCTGCCGGCTGATAAAGGACTTATAATCTGATCCTCAGTGTGCTGGTGACTCTTTTCTCATGACCCGGCTACAACACTTGGAAGGCTGAGGTGGAAGGACTGCCTGAGCCCAACAGGTCGAGGCTGCAGTGGTCATGAGTGTGAGCGTGCCACTGTGCTTCAGTCTGGGCAACAGTTGAGACTCCAACTCAAAACAAAAAGAGTTTTATGCTTACCAAGCACAGAGAGGGCTTCCAAGTCCCATAGTGAACTGCATCTCACGATTCCTGAGAAGGCTAAAGAGCATGCTGGACCAGGGCCAGGGTATCTCCAAAGGTTTCTACCTTCTATAGCTTCCTGCTTGCCCAGTTCTTAAGTTCAAACACTGACAGTGACAAATGTTTCTGCTGGAGATGGGGTGACAAAGAACAGCAGAGACTCCTATGCTCTAGTCCAGGGATCAGTAAACACTTTCTGTAAAGGACCAGGCAGTAATTTAGGTTGTCGCAGCCATAAAATATCTGTGGCGACTACTCAGCTTTGCTGTTGCAGCAAGAAAGCAGTTGCAGATAGTAAAGAAACAAATGAGCATGACTACTTTCCAATAAAACTTTATTAAACAGGTGCACGAGCCATAGTCTGTCAATTCCTGCTCTATCAGTGCTGAACTATGTCACTAAGTCGTTATGATTCCACAATCTAATCACTTTATGGTGACATCTCATATTTAATCACATCTATTTTGCTATCTACAAAATGATACGTGAATATACTGTAGGGTGATAACCACGTGGCATTGGGTAAGTTACTTAGCTCTCTTTATCTCAATTTCTTCATTCATTAAATAGGAGCAATCTGATACCTGTCCCATGCATTGTTCTGAAGATTAAACGAGTTAATAAAAGTCAGAGTGCCTGGCACATATTAAGGGCTCAAAACGTTAGCTGTTACAATTATATGTAGTTCAGTGTTGTCATTAATTATTAACTTAGAAAGTGACAAGAGCATATTAGGCAGGTCTTTACAGCTGTAAATGTTGGTGCTCTAAGTGTCAAACTTTCCAATCAGTCACTTCAAGTACAAAAACACACCTGTTACCTGTTTAAAACCTCATAGGCCATACACATACATACACACGTCCTTAAAAAATCACTCTCACCTAACGATCATTACAGAAATGCAGTCAGAAAACTTACCTCTTTTTTCCTCCACAATTTTTACAGAGATGACATTTTTATCCATGGGATTGGGGTACTAAAATAAAACACACAAAGAATTACCATTCATTGTTGACTAAAGTGAATTATTTCATAGTAACCACAGCTAGTACAGGATCAATCAATATTTTCCAAGCAACTACTATGTAAATGCCACCTTGCAATCAAGGATCTTAAGGTGACCACATGGACCTAGATAAGTGAGATGCCATCACAGTCTCGACTTATATGAAATCCAGAGAAATCTTCTTTAGATCCCACCTAGCCCTGGGTGGAAGGGGCATGAGTTTAAGCTAATTAATGAAGAAGAATACTATTACTGAACCAACCTAATGTAAATCAAGTATTCTCTGTGCCAGGTACCACGCTAAATGCTTCACTTGCATGGTCTTGTCTAAATCCAACAGCCTCTCTTTTGGGACCAGGTTATGTGGTATCTCCTTCCACCCTTCAGAAATGGAAGCTGAATAAAGACTGAATTGCTTAGGGCAACTCAACTGGTCCCTGGCAAAGCCAAGAAAGTCAACCAGGTCATTTAATATAGAGCAGTGGCTAGGTTAGCATCACAGGAGAATGATCATGGAAGTATACAATGCCAGGCAAATATTAGGTGCTCAATAAGTAGTTTGTTGACATAATTCCCCTGGAGAACATTTTGGATGTGGCAAGGTTGATAACAGCTACCATTTTTGTCCCAGGCAATTTACATACATTATTAGCTCAGTTAATTCTCAAAACTATTCCATGAGGTATGTGTTATTTTTTTGCCAATTCTTACGGGAGGAATAAGGCTCAGGTAAATTAAGTCAATGACTCAAAAGTTCCTGGTTAATGAGTGATGTATCTGAGAGTAATATAATCTATCCCCAGATACTTTCTGGTGCCTTCAAGTCTGCCCGTCCAGCATATCACCACATCACCGGAGAGTCCATCCAAGCCTTGCTATGATCCAGAGGTGAAAAGAGAGAGATGGGGCAGAAGTGACTTCCTCAAAGCCACAGAATGAGGGAGCTGCTGACCTAGGCCTACTGAGCCCCTCTGGACTCGTTCCCCTGAGGCTCGCTGCTTTCTCACATGATCAAACCAGAAAAGAAAATTAGAGGAAGGTCGTCTCCAGGATGTCGCAAGGTGCTGAGCCAAAGGCAAGGGCAGCGAGCAGACAGATGGCGGAAGGGCCCTTCTCTGGGCAAAGCCGCACGTTACATCTTGTGAAATGGAACACAAAACTCTGCCTGTGAGTATCCTCCACCCACGCAGCCACAGGCGACTGTGGAAATGCGTGTGTAAAAGACTGATTGGCCAGGCTCGGCGGCTCAGCCTGTCATGCCAGCGCTTGGAAGGCCAAGGCGAGTGGATGGCCTGCGCCCGTGGGTTCGAGACTAGCCCGGGCAACTTGGCGAGATCTCGTCTCAACAATAAATCAAAAATCAGCCATGTGTGGTAGCACCAGCCTGTAGTTCCGGCTACTTGGAAGACTGAGGTGGAAGGACCGCCAGAGCCTGGTAGGTTGACACTGAGGTGGCCGTGAGCATGCCACTGCACTCCAGCCTGGGCGACAGAGTGAGACTCCAACTCAAAAAAAAAAAGACTGATTGACCTTCAGGTAATGGGTCCATCATTTTCACACATTCTGAAGGCTATCTGTGACCCTGAAAGATACCAGATGAGAACAGAGACTCCATGAGGGCAGGAATGCACCTATTTCAGTGGCCCTGCCTCTCCACCAGTCAGCGCAGTGTCTGGCACCCAACAGGCACGCAGTCACCACCTGCTGGATGAATGAATGACCTAGAGCACACACCTCAGTGACCTCAGGGATCAGTGTGGAAAACGGCCTTCCTTCATCCAGCATCAATCTGTGGCAAGAGCAATGGGCTCAGAGCAGCAGCTTCAGTGCCTCATCATGTGCCCTGCTGGCCATCGCTGCCACTCACACTTGCATTCTGGAAACTGCAATCTTGGTAACTTAGGAAGAACTGGGTTTTTAAAAATGTATCCATTTATTCATTCATTCATTTTAGCCCTGGGGGAAGAAAATGCTCAAAATGGCATTTGCTTCTTGAAGTGTAGCCCTTCAAAGGCACCTGTCCATCACAGAGGGTCAGGGCTAGATATTCTGATCCTTGGCAAAGAAGACCTTCATCCTTGAAGAAGGGAGATACTTGAGACTCACACGGCAAGGCAGAGAACTGTGTACGTGAGTAAATTATGATGTGAACAGTTCTAGTCTGTTCATTACATATCCACAAATACAGCATGACTGAGTATTATAAATACACTGAGAGTTGTAGGAAGATGACTAACTAAATTATAAAAGAAGTTGGAAATGTAGTCACCAGAGAGACATGGTGATAAGTTTTCCAGTTCTGATTCCTTTGCTAAGTTATCAATGAAACCCCTAAGGATTATAAACGCAAATACTTCACACTTACATAATTTTTGGAGTTGAATAGTTTCCTTACAAGAATGGTAAAAGAAATTAAGGACCCATTTGCAATAGCTAAATACCATGATACGAAAAGCACATATTTTAACTTTTTTAAAATTAAAGATTTATTGAACCGAGGCTTCCCCTACCTGGCATTACTTGAAATGATCTGATGCCATCTTGTGGTAACCTGAATATTCATGTTTTAATCCACAAAAATTGACCTAGTGTCCAGTAACAAGGGCTTGAAAGAGGCAAGGCAGATCTGAGAAGGGCAACACCAGAAACACCACCCTGCAACGGTGGGAGGCAGGTGGCCTGGTCTTTCTGACACCTTTTCAGACACAGCATGACTGTGGCACTGACCAGGCCAGACCACACCCACACCCACTCAAGACGCACTGAGCATCAACAATGTCCGTGCCCGCCACACCACGGTGCTGGACAGAGGCTGCCATACATGTGCATGATCTCATTCAGTCCTCCCCAGGGCAGGAAACCACCTGACAAGGACTAAGACTCGGAGCCCTTCTTGGGATGGCATACAGCCTACAGAAAAGCAGGGCCACACCAGGGTCCTCCAGACCACACCACACACTAGAGACCCTTGTGGAAGCTACACACTCTGAGGACCCACGTATCTGCCCAGAGCCCTCGGCCTCTTGGAAGCTGCCTCAGGGGAGCACAACCTGCACGTGCAGAGGAATGAGGCTGTGTATGCGGCCATGCATGTGACACTTCATGGGTGACCCAAGGGGCTTCAAGGTACATTTGGCTTCGTTTTGAACTTCCTTATGCTCTCTACCTTCCTCATAGGATGTGTAAACTAACTCCTGTCCCTCCCTGCAAGATAGGAACCGATTGCAAACACCTGTATATATGAGAGGCACGCCAGAGTCTAACAGGGGTGGATGGGGACTCTCCTAAGGCCGGCATGTCCCCTTGCTCACATTTATTATTTACATATTAAAAAGCAAGAAGCCACAATCTGGTGGGAACCAAAATATACATTAAAACATATCACTACAAAAAGTGAGAGGCCAGGAAACTGAGTCGACCTAATTGCAGAAATAAGAGTCAATATGCTTGTGGGAGGAGCTTCGTGAAGATATGGCATTTACCCTTCTTATTGTCAAGGGGCAAAAAAAATCCATAAGCTTTCAGAAAGACTCTTCTTAAGAGTAAGGAGTTATTAAGATGTCAACTTTCCAAAAGTCAATGCCTGTCTCTCATGACCCTTCCCCTCACAAGAGTCAATGACATTCAAAGGAGTCACAGTCTAGAAACTTTCAAATGGAGCACCCGGCAGAGCACAGAGAAGCAGGGGGATCAACAGATCGGTCCACTGAATCCTGCTGAGAAGGCAAGGAGGACCTACAGTGAGGCTGATTTCTTAACACATCTGCTGCACAAACACTAAGGGAACCCGCACACAGGCTGCTTCCCAACACGCATATGCAAAGAGATGCAGCACGGAAAAGAGATCTGGTGTTCAGCTCCACAAAGAAACCACTGCTGGCCAGCACGGTGGCTTGGGCCTGTAATCCAAGCACTTGGGGAGGCTGAGGCAAGAGGACAGGTTGAGGCCAATTCATGTCTAGCCTAGGCTAAACACAGTGGAACCCCATCTCTACAAAAAATAGTAATAATAATTTTTTTTAAGTTACAAGACCAAATAACCATGGACTGGGCCAAATCTCTTTTATGAGCTCCTTGCAATAGTCTATCTCAGAAGAAAAGCAAAGTTGATTTCATACCAAGTTGAAATGTGTTATTAATTACTCAAAATGTCAATGATCAAGGACAAAAATATATTTAAGTTGAGAGGTATTTTGCCCTAATCCTGAATTGTACCCCACATCTTTAAAATAAAATTTTTTTAAAAAGAAATATATTTTGCAAGGCTGTTCATTGGTCTAGTAGGCCAGGGGGACAATGAATAGAACAGAGGACACAGAGCCAAGACCATGATGCCACCACCTGTGACGCCAGGTGGTGGGCCTCCAGATGATCCCCAAAGGTCCTTGGGGCCAGGACAAGCTATGACTCTACACAAACATCAGCCAACATCACTTCAGTCTCTCTCTCAAAAGTGTCCTAATAATCAGCAATGTCATAGTGAAGTCTTGTGAAAGGATAGCTATCACCATAACACAAAGGAAAACCCTCTTATTTCTTTTTTTTTTTTTTTTTTTTTTGAGTTGGAGTCTCACTCTGTCACCCAGACTGGAGTGCAGTGGCCGCTTCCGGTCACCGCATCCTCGACCTGCTAGACTACGGCGATCCTTCCACCTCAGCCTTCCAAGTAGCTGGAACTACAGGCGCGCGGCACCATGCTAATTTTTGATTTATTGTAGAGATGAGGTCTCGTCAAGTAGCCCAGGTGGGTCTCGAACCCGCGGGCTCAGACAATCCACTCACCTCGGCCTCCCAAAGCGCGGGATTACAGGCTGAG